TGATACTTATAGTTAGGACTGGCTCTTACAGTTAGGACTGGCTTTTATGGTTAGGGATGATACTTATAGTTAGGACTGGCTCTTACAGTTAGGACTGGCTCTTGTAGGTACAGCTGGCTCTTATGGTCAGGGATGATACTTATAGTTAGGACTGGCTCTTACAGTTAGGACTGGCTTTTATGGTTAGGGATGATACTTATAGTTAGGACTGGCTCTTACAGTTAGGACTGGCTCTTGTAGGTACAGCTGGCTCTTATGGTTAGGGATGATACTTATAGTTAGGACTGGCTCTTACACTTAGGACTGATACTTATAGTTAGGGCTGGCTCTTATAGTTAAGACTGACTCTAATAGTTAGTACTGATACTTATAGTTAGGACTGGCTCTTACAGTTAGGACTGATACTTATAGGTAGGAGTGGCTCTTACAGTTAGAGCCGGCTCTGTTTCTTTATGTATCATTTTGTCATATGTATCACTGTACATTTATCATGTTGATCTGTTCTGTACGACATCTATTACACGTCTGTCCGTCCTGGAAGAGGGTTCCCTCCTCAGTTGCTCTTCCTGAGGTCAAAGGTTTATCAATCAATCAATCAATCAATCAATTCAATTTTATTTATAAAGCCCAATATCACAAATCACAATTTGCCTCACAGGGCTTTACAGCATACAACATCCCTCTGTCCTTATGACCCTCACAGCTGATCAGGAAAAATCCCCCAAAAAACCCTTTAACGGGGAAAAAAACGGTAGAAACCTCAGGAAGAGCAACTGAGGAGGGATCCCTCTTCCAGGACGGACAGACGTGCAATAGATGAATAGATGTTTATTTGGGGAGTTTTTGTTTATCTGCTGTCAGGGTGAGAGGACAGAGAGATGTTGTGTGCTGTAAAGCCCTGTGACAAACTGTGATTTGTGGTATTGCGCTTTATAAACAAAATGTCTAAATGGACATTACACTGAAGAAAAACAGGTTAACACAGAGGAAGTGTTGAGTTTAACTGGGGAGCAGGGAAATTAGAAACTCTCATATCTGAGAATTCACAGTAATGATACGTTTTTTGTCCCCAAAGAGCGACTGAATGCACAGCAGCAATAAAACAGAAAATCACGAAGCATATCATAAACATAGCATATAAATACAACATAGGGGAAAAAATAGGAGGACAGGAGTCAAAAATATTCTAAAAAATTATTAAAAATAAATACAGTAAGTTTTGCAGTCTTGAGATATTCAGACTTGGTGTTCTGTGTTCCTCTCCTCACAGAGTTATGTTTGGAGACAACAGATGGTATGAAAGAGCTTTTGTATTTGTTATTTTTGGCTAACAAGAACCAGCAGGTCCAGTTAGATCTGAATCTCTGTGTGTATGTGTGTGTGTGTGTGTGTGTGTGTGTGTGTGTGTGTGTGTGTGTGTGGGGGGGGGGGGGCAGTCATAAATTCAGCCCTGACCTGAGCCGTTACTCTCCCGTCAAACCGCCGAAGTGCTCTTGACTGTGGAGGATTTTATTCTTGTTTTTAATCGGCTTGGTTTTGTGTCTAAATTTGGCCTTTGTACGTGTAGAACATAACACAAAGTGAGGACTCACTGAGGCAGGTGTTGTGTGTGAAGTCCCGGTGGAAAGCGTCACACTCACGCTCCTGATTGCCGGTCCCCCTGCAAGTACACCACAGGCTCATGGTGATGTTGGATGGACTGCTGTCGCTGTAGTTCGGCGTTACATCAGAGCCTGAGATAGAAAGACAGGAAGGGGGAGGGAGGGGGAGTTCATGTTGGGGAGGAATAAGAATTAGGATGCAGATTAGCCGGGAAGAAAGCTAAAGAGGATTTTTGCAAATTGAGAATGGAATCAGTGGATGATTTCCAGAGAGGAAGTGAGTCACCTGCAGTGTGTTCCTGTAACAAAGACACACCACTGACAGAATAACAGCACCTACTGTAAACTGTCTAATAAAAGATGGTATTCAAATAACGGCAGAGGAAAGCGGACGGTACCTGATATAGACTGATTGAAGGTTGTTAGAATTATCTGCACTATCAATCAGCACAGGAACACAAGAGTGTCTTTTTTAAAACTCTTTTTTCTAACATATCCATCGTATTGATAAAACAGGGAAAATTAGAGTTTACAGCTCTAATATATTCAAATTTCTCTCCACTGTGGAGGTTAATAAATAAGAGTTTACAGGCGCATCCCACTAAACATGTCGCATTTTGTCATGATAACCACATGATTTCTTGAGTTAACGTGTTTTCTGAGGTCACAGTGAGCTTCACCTTTGACTACTAAATTCTAATCAGTTCAGCAGACATTTGTGCCAAATTTAAAAGACCTCCCTAAAGGTGTTCTTGAGATATCCCAGTTTCAACAATGAGATGGAGGTAAGGTCACAGTGACTTAGACCTTTGACCATCAAATTCTAATTAGTTCATTCTTGACTCAAAGCAGAAGTTTGTGTGAAATTTGAAGCAATTCCTTCAAGGTGTTCTTGAGATATCACAGATATGAGAATAAGACAGAGGGAAGGCCACAGCGACCTTGACCTTTAGCCACCAAATTCTAATAATTTTATTGTTTAGTCCAACTAGACATTTGTGCCAAATTTGAAGAACTTCCTGAATGGTATTCTTGAGATATCACGGTCACAAGAATAAAACAGAAAAGATCACAGTGACCTTGACCTTTGACTAACAAATTACAAACGTTAATCCTTCTCTCACAGTGGACATTTGTGCCAAATTTAAAAAAAAAAAAATCCTTCAGGATGTTCATGAGGTATTGTGCTCATAAGATTGAGACAGACAAGGTCACAGTGACTTTGACCTTTGACCACCAAAAGCAAATCAGTTCATCCTTGCCTAGACGGTAGAAGTTTGTGCCACATTTGAAGAAATATCCTTAAGGTGTTCTTGAGGTATTGTGTTCACAAGAATGAGACAGATGCAAAGTAACAGTGACCTTGACCTTACACCACCAAATTATAATCAGTTTATCCTTGAGTCCAATAAGATGTTTGTGCCAAATTTGAGGAAACTCCTTCAAGGCATACTTGAAATATCACAGTCATAAGAATGAGATAATCACGGTGACCTTCATCTTTGATCAACAAATTCTAAACTGTTCATCTTTGGGTAAAAGTGAACGTTTGTGCCATATTTGAAAAAAAATAAATATCTAAAGGTGCTGATGAGATATTGCATTTACAACACTGAGACAGATGAGGTCACAGTGATCTTTGACCACCAAAGTCTAATCAGTTCATTCTTGAGTCCAAGAGGACGTTTGTGCCAAATTTTAGGAAATCGCCTAAAACCGTTTTTGAGCTGTGGGAAGGACAAACAACCCTCCGGCCACGCGCCCACCGGTGCGGAGGCTTAAGAACAGATGAACTTACCAATGAGGCCGACGTAGGACATGAGGCAGCCGTGGTAGTTGTCATGAGGGCAGCTGGTGACGGTGTGAGATGTCATCTGGCAGTTCATGTGGAAATCAGCGAGCCGAGACCTGCAGACACAAACGGACAAACGGGATGCACTTTGGAGGTTGTTGGAAAGGGTATTTTACAAATGCCCAAACCTCCTCATCTGGACCTTTTTCAGCGTAAAGGAGTAGCAGCTCTACTCCAAGCTTCTCCCCCTATTTCTACGGCTGAGCCCAGACACCCTGCGGAGGTAACTCACTTTGGCCGCTTGTGATCTCATTCTTTCGGTCACTACCCAGAGCTCATGACCATAGGTGATGGTTGGGATGCAGATGGACCAGGAAATCAAAAGCATCGCCTTCTGGCTCAGCTCCCTCTTCACTACGACAGTCCAGTGGTTGCAAACCCACATCATTGCTGAAGCCTCGCTGAATTGCCTGTCCATCTACGCCTGTTGAGTACATTGACCTTTTTTTCTCAACCTGATTCACTGGGATTTTCAGCACAACCATCTCTAGGGTTTACAGAGGATGGTCCCAAAAAGAGCAAATATCCAGTGAGCCAAAATGCCTTGTTGATGCCAGAGGTCAGAGGAGAATGGCCAGACTGGTTCAAGATGATAGAAAGGCAACAGGAAGTCAAATAAGCACTGGTTCCAACCAAGGTGTGCAGAAGAGCATCTCTGAAGCAACAACACCTTGTCCAACCTTGAAGCAGATGGGCTACAGCAGCAGAAGACCACACCAGGTGCCACTCCTGTCAGCTAACAACAGGAAACTGAGGCTACAATTCACCAAAACTGGACAATAGAAGATTGGAAAAACCACATTCAGATGGAAGCATGGATCCATCCTGCCTTGTATCAACGCTTCAGGCTGCTGCTGCTGGTGTAATGGTGTGGGGGAGATTTTCTTAGTACCAACTGAGCATGGTTTAAACACCACAGCCTACCTGAGTATTGTTGCTGAGCGTGTCCATCCCTTTATGACCACAGTGTACCCATCTTCTGATGGCTACTTCCAGCAGGATAACGCACCATGTCACAAAGCTCACATCATCTCAAACATGACAATGACTTCACTGTACTCCAATGGCCTCCACAGTCACCAGATCTCAGTCCAATAGAGCACCTTTGGGATGTGCTGGAACGGGAGATTCTCATCATGGATCAGCTGTGTGATGTCATCATGTCAATATGGACCAACATCTCTGAGGAATGTTTCCAGCACCTTGTTGAGTCTGTGACACCAAGAATTAAAAAGGGGGTCCAACCTGGTACCAGCAAGGTGTACCTAATAAAGTGGCTGGTGGGTATATAAAGCTTTGAAATTTGCATCACCTGTCCTTTCCTAATGATGACTGTGAACAAGCCAGAGGTCTAACAAGCTAACCATGGTCTGAGAGCTTCAATGTGTTGGGGTGCCCAAACTTTGTTTATGCCACTGTAAGTGTCTATAAATCCAGCAGGACACACTGATGTCACCTCCTCGTTAAACGTTAATTATTCATGAACTCAATCTGCTAATATTATTATTTATTTCATTTCTTTTCTCCTCCTGTTCCACCCGTCCATCTGAGCACTGCAGTAAAAACATTAACTAGAACAGATCAGATGCAGAGAAACTCTCCTGACGGTGGAAATAAATGGCTGATTCACACAGTAGTTTGGGAGATTATCTCTGCATTTCCAGTACGCATGTCCTGCAGTATCCACCACATCATGCATATGTTAATGCACCAGGAACTGTCACAGGCAATAACTGTACAGCTGCTGAGCTTAATCTACTGCCTGTCCTAGTTTCCTGTTTCTCCATCCTGTCTTGTCTCCTCTCTTCTTTTGTCTCCCTCTCTATTCTCTTTAATTCCTGAGCCTCTGTCCTGCCTCATGATTCTTCTTCTTGTCTTTCTGAGTGCGATGTTGCAGCGTGTTGGAGAGACAGACGGACGGACGGACGGACTCAGGAGGAGGAAGGTGAAAGATGTCGTATGGTGGGATCAGCAGGGTGGCACACACGTGTGATCCCAGCGCTGTATGATGGCACACGATAGACACAGTCCTCCTCTGTGTGTGAGTGTGTGTTTGTGTGAACACATGAGTGCTTGACACGACTCGCTCACACATGCGTCAGTGTGAAAATGTTTGTTTGCTCGTCTGTCGACTGCGAGGAATGATACAGTTTGACAGGCCTGAGTGCTGTGCTTTTGACTTTCACAAAGAGGTCAGAGTCTGTGTGACTGAGTGTGTGTGTGTGTGTGTGTGTGTGTGTGTGTGATTGTGACTGTGTGTGTGTGTGTGTGTGTGTGACTGTGAGTGTGTGTTGTCCTGCTTGAGTAATCCTGCCGACGATGCCAACTCGAGACAAAAGACACAGCCATAATCCACACTGACAAACACACACTTTCCTCTAGTCTCTCTCTCACTGTCCGTCTCTGTATGTGAGACACACACACACACACACACACCCTTGTGAGGACCCTGACTAACATAATGCATTACCTGTCCCCGTACTCTAAGGGACTGTTTTTTATTTATGAGAAGTCAGGGGGAGGGGCATACACATTTAAATGGCTTATTATGTATTTATTGTATCACTGGTTTCTAAAGAAAAACATGCCTTCCAAATTCTGGCAATTTTCCATTTTTGGTGATAAGTTTTGGAGAAAATTTATGGCAATTTTTTTATATATATAAAAAAATGCCCGCAGATTTTTTTCTGTCTTTATTTCTTTTTTTTTTGTTTGCCTTTTTTTAAAATTATTTTTTAAAGAAACACTCCTGTCAGAAAGAAAAATAAAACACCATAAACAAATCTGATCTTAAATTAATGATATTTTATCAAAATCACTTTATTCTACGTCTCATTTAAAATTTGGACCAAAAAAAAAAAAAAAAAGGTGTTTGCATGAACGAACCAGCACGAACAACAAGAGAGAGAAACTTTTTCAACTCCAGGATTTTGTCTTCAACTTTTAACTTCCAAACATCAAAGGGTAAGTGGTAGACAGATGGTGGAGGAGGGTCAAGGACAAACATGAGTAGCTTCAGGGAGGGTCACATCCCAGCCACCCCCCTCCTCTGAAGGGTAAAGAACAGTCCCTAACTTCAACCATCAGAACTTAATACCTAAAGGCCCATTTATGCTCCCTTTATGTATGAAAATGTATACGTCCGTTTCAAACGATGTTACCGTCATTGCCCACATACTTCCATGCATCCTTTACATTGGCATGGATGTTAACCAATATATCCACCAGGGGGCAGCCCAGAGTCAAAAGTTTATGACAACAAACTCAAAAACAACATGGCGACTGTGGAGGAGATATTGATAATGTATCTCTTGCATAAAAGACAAAAACAGAGGGACCCCAGTCGGAGGGCACGAGGGTCGGCCCTGGGAGCGGAGCGGAGAGGGAGGCCTCCGTGTTTGAGGCGGGAGCGGGTGGCGGGAGGTCGGACACTCCCAGAGAGGGGAGAGGGAGAAATATAACAAAATAAGATGAAACAGGAAAAACCTGTCTCCCTCTTTTATTTTATTTTTTCAGCATTTCAGGCGAAAAAGCCATTGTTATTTCTTCTTCGTGTCTCACTAGAGCTACGTAGCTTCAATGAAGAAGTGAGGACCAGCCAAAATGTCCTCACTTTTCAAAAACGTCCTCACTGTTGCTAAAATACATTTTTTTTGGTCCTCACTATGTATCATGTACAAGTACACACACACACACACACACACACACACACACACACTCAGTGACACCTCCACCCTTGGCTTGTCAGGACAGATTGCAGTGTGAGGCCGTGACTCAGACAGTTGCTGAGTTGTGTTTTCGTGTTTGGCAGCCGTTAATTTCAAAGAAACACGAGGACAGCGTGCCGCCATGTTTGCATCTATCGGCCGTACGTCACCTGCAGCTCAGCACTGATTTCTATCATCTATCCTCCTTTCATTCTGTCTCTTTATTATACGACAGCCAAACTTCACACACGAGAAATGCTCTTTCATAAAGCATCATGTTCGCTTTTATTGTCATCGAGTGTTGAAGCAGCCGAACGCTCAGATGAGTGCTGGTGAGCTCTGTTAGATACAGCTGGGATTCATGGGAGCAGAACGTCACATCCTTTTATGCTGAGGGGAAAAACAAAGCATTCGGTACCATGCTGAAGAGTTGGGAGGGTTAGTTTTAAAACATATTCCACTACAGAGCACTGAATTCATGTCCTAAAATGTCATTTGTAATGTATTCTCTTAGATTATTATATGAGAAGGTGTTGAAATAGAACTATGAGGGAAGCGACGTTTATGACGTTTGAAATATCTATTTTTGTATAAGTAAGTACAAATGAACCTTCCCCATTGACTCACACTGGCAAACAGACGCAGGGTCCACAGTGTCACTAAAACACACCAAAACAGTGGTATGACCCTTTAAATGACCCCTGCAGCCATCTCATGCATTAACGTCCTCCTCTTGGAGCTCTAAACTTTACTGAATCAACCTCTGAGCTTTGTGCTCGCTGCCAAAACCTCAGGTCATGTCTTATTTAAATATGTTTATTTTTTCATGTGTTCTGGCCCAAAGCCCTCTCATTATGACGGGCTGGAGTCTCATTCAGAGGAAACATCTCAGGTCAGACAGAGTACAGTACTTTTTTCCCCTCTGTCCTTGGGGTTGATGATTAGTTTAGTTGAATCATTAACGAGCCCTGTGGGGACATGATAAAGCCCGGGCAGGATTTGATCAAGTGGTTTCAGAGGCGCTAAATTGAGCCACTCAGCGATCTGTGCTCCGACCATCGTCATCATCGTCTCTCTCTGTGACCTTCATCCGTCACTGCTGCTAACTGCTTCTCACACCGTTAGCGTGCATTGTTTAAAGATCAATTAGTGCCTCATCTTCTCATTAGTGCTGATATTAGCTCTTCTATCAACACCTGTCACAACTTTTAGAACTGAAAAATGTCAACAGTCGTTTCCAACCGGTCACAGCTCAGAGTTTCACACTCACGTTTCAGCCTGGTCTGAAGAAAACCTAAAAACATGAAGATTCTCAGGTTCTGCAGCCTCGTCTGTGATAATTGATTTTT